GGGTGATATATTGATCCTTGCTAAGGTTCATCCAAGTGGTGACTAGGTGATACCAAGTGTATACGAATCAAGGGGCTCTGGCAATAAGGACATAAACAGGCCTCCACTTAACTTGAGACGTTCGGTCCTGGGACAGCAACAATGGTAAATGAGGTGTTGAACGAAGACGCTACCCCGTGAATCTCTGACAAAACTGTATTTATTTCGCGGTACCAAGTATACTGCTGAAGGTCACACAGACTCCAACTGTTCTGCACTCCGACTATGACGACTGCTCCAGTACTCTCTCGAACTAACCACCGACTCTAACGACTAACTCGACTGATTCTACTAACGTCTACTAACTCGCGGCTACATCGGCGTTAGTTTTCTGTTTTTTAACCCATTTGCATCCAAGCGCGGAATATTCCACGAGCCACGACTGTCGTCTATCACCATTTTCCCATTATCAGTTGCCGAATATTCTTCATATGCCACAGATCACGTTTGATCCCTTTCGTATATCGTCACTAGGTCGATCTTAGTTGGCGACGATTAGTGACGGACGGTTCGTTGAGGAAGGTTATGTCTAGCTTCGAAGTGTTAAGTGGACTGTATTTTAGTAGAACTCTCTTCGTGACTGTTCTGTCGGTGATATTATAAGCTTCCTCTTTGGTCTGATTGGTTGCAAATAATATTGGGGGTGTGTGCCAGCTCCAGCGTCTTTCGGTGGTAGTTGTTTAAACAATCTTGGTACCCATGCCCGTCGCCTTAAGGGTGATATATTGTTGCTTCTTACGGTTTACCCAAGTGGTGGCTTAGGTGACAATGAGCGTATAGAAGTCAAGGGACGCTGACAATAAGGACACGAAACAGTTCTCCACTTGACCTGGGACATTGCGGTCCTAGGGCGGCAATACTGGTACTTGTAAAATTTCAGAGCCTTCACATTTAGATATACAGTCTGTCCTAAACAAAGGGATGAACGGAATACCGGAAACGACATTTCAAGGATTAACATATATTACATACTGCACAATTATAGGACAAATGAGTCACTCATTTAACCTCACTTACATATACCTTTATCTTATTTATTAATAAAATTATTGGAAAATTGTAGAATTTTTTCAAATTTCCTGTATAGTAAAACAAAAATATATATGCATATTAATAAATAATAAAAATATTAATATGCATATTAATAATTTTGCTTGTATGACAAATATAGCACATAATTCTGATATTTGACTAGAGTTCATGACGAGTTAGACTCGTTATTTTAGTGCAGAAATGGTGAACAGAATTCGAAAATCACTATAATTCTGCAATAATATAGTGTTTACATGAGAGCTTTTATCGATCCTTGAATTAGTCGAGGAGAAACAATAAAGTTCGTTCATTTTGCTCTTTCGCTTTATATTTTAGGGAGTGTAATAAAACATATCGTTTACAGAATTTCGTGAAGGCGAGACGATAGTATGTTGCATCATGTTATTGCAACACGTGCAAACGTTGTACCAGTAACGACCGCTTGTTCGCTTTTTCGCAAAATTCCTCGAGCTTCAGGGAATGAATTTTTGTACGAGTTTTATACAGATAAAACATTAAAAAGGATTACGTCATCGATTTTATATTTTTTTTTCGTGAAAAGTAATAACTTTAAAAGTACTTGCGACTGACGTGTGAAAAATTCTATGAAATTTTTGCTCCCCGTTTAAATATTACAACGATTTTTAAGATAGAAAGTAATTACTTGTTATTTATGTATGTTATTTGGGAAAATGGATAATGTTAGTTATTAATATTATATATATTTATTAATAATGGTTATTAATATTGGTGACAATTGATACTTGGAAAATAACAAACAAATATTTTGAAAAATATCGCGATGGAAGATATTCATTGTTATTTGAGTGTCTAGGAATCATGAAAAGTACTTTTAACTTTGCATGAAGGACACGGTTTTCCAAGTTTTTGAACGTGTAGCGGGCAAATCCAGCTTTTTAATCAGCAATTATTTCACTTTCATCACAACTGAAATCGCGCAAATCCATTTTCAAAATGGGTAAAATGCAATAAAATAAAACACAAGTCAAAACTGATCAAATTAAAAAATAGGATTTGAAAGTAAAGCGCAAGTTCCTTCAAAGTCACAGAATGCAGTTCATTGCAGTCTATCACGCAACCGAGATCACAGTCTCCCGCCTGCAATGTGTTAATTTCATTATTTTTGAAGGATCATATAGTGAATTTGGTGAATGCTTATTTACCTAATTTGTTTATTTTAATACGAAATTCTGAATTTCAAATTTTAATTTAGATTTATTGCTTTATATTTTAAAAAGATTTGTTAAATATTATGCTGAATTATCATTAATAATACAGGTATATAATATTTATAGTATAATATGTGAAATAGTATAATCCTTAAAAAAAGTAGAATAACGGACTCTCTGAATACTAGTTTTCGTCAATTGTAGAATAAAAACATATTTTTGAATTATTATTAATACATATTTTAAAGAATATTTTCATTTAAATAAAATTTTTATTTAGATTAATTACTATATATTTCAAAAGAATTTTAAAGATATGCTTAATTATCATTAATAATGTTTATAGTATAAAACATGAAATATTTTTAAAAAAATAGAATAGTTTACTTCCTGAATATTAATTTTGTCAATAAATATTAGTAGAGTAAAAATATATTTTTGAATTATTATTAATACATAGTTTAAAGAATATTTTCTTTTAAATAAAATTTTAATTTAGAATAATTGCTATATATTTTAAAAGAATTTTAAAAATATTATGCTTAATTATCAGTAATAATATTTATAGTATAAGACATGAAAAATCTTTAAAAAAATAGAATAATTTACTGGCTAAATATTAATTTTTGTCATTCAATATTAGTAGAGTAAAAATATATTTTTGGATTATTATTAATACATATTTTAAACAATATTTTCATTTAAATAAAATTTAAATTTAGATTAATTGGTATATAATTAAAAAGAATTTTAAAAATATTATGCTTAATTATTATTAATAATATAGGTATTTAATATTTATAGTATAATACGTGAAATATATTTAAAAAAATAGAATAATTTACTCTCTGAATATTAATTTTGTCATTGAATATTAGTGGAGTAAAAATATATTTTTGAATTATTATTAATACATATTTTAAAGAATATTTTCATTTAAATAAATGTTATTCTAATGTTACACAAATTCTCAGTTGTTGTAATATAAATATAAAACTCGTAAGATATTTGTAAACAGTACAGCAAAATAGTTTTCGTGAAAATCAAACTTTTTGGGAAAAGTTTATCACGGAGAAAGTTTCAAATTCGTGAGAAATCTGCAAATATGTAGAAATGGAAAAGTGTTTCCGTTATTGAGCATTGCCTTTTTTATGATTAAATAAAATTGCCAAATTCTAATTTTACATAATTCATATCAAGGAAAGTTCACTTGTTAAAGAGTTAATGAATCCAATTAATATTATAGTAAGGATGAACTTCTAATTAACTAACGTTACCTCCAGAAATAATTGATGAGAGCTTTGTCCCGTAATTGCTTGCTACACACAGCACCGTTCGTAATTATTCAAACGACACGGAATTTTGACATGGATGAAGTTGTACAGCTGTGCTTCGGGCTAACAATTTCGTTCTTGGAAGACGAATGTGTATTAGTGCTGCAATGTTACTAAAATGCAGGATGGCATAAAATTTATTCGAGTAATATCAAAGATTGTTAACTTGCTAACAATTTATTATCACAGATATTTTGAAACATTCGTATTTAAATATCTGAATAAATTGAATTATTATATATTTAATTTATATATTATATATAATTTCAATTAAATTATGCAATTATTAACAAGATATTCACGACTTTTAAAGCCATGGAAAAATGCAATTTTATCAATCCATGTACAATTTTAATTAATTCATTATAATAACAGGGGCATTTGTTTAATTTATTTAATTTATTTGTATATCTATACAATCGAATACAATTTATTATCACAGATATTTTTAAACATTCGCATTTAAATATCTGAATAAATTGAATTATTATACATTATATATATACTATATTATAAATTTATGTAATTTCAATTAAATTATGCAATTGTTAACAAGATATTCATGACTATTAAAGCCATGGAAAGATGAAATTTTATGAATCTATGTACAATTTTAATTAATTAATTTATTTTTATAATAACCTAATATTATTAGATGCATTTCTTTAATTTATTTAATTTATTTGTATATCTATACAATCGAATACAATTTATTATCACAGATATTTTTAAACATTCGCATTTAAATATCTGAATAAATTGATTTATTATACATTATATATATACTATATTATAAATTTATGTAATTTCAATTAAATTATGCAATTGTTAACAAGATATTCATGACTATTAAAGCCATGGAAAGATGAAATTTTATGAATCTATGTACAATTTTAATTAATTAATTTATTTTTATAATAACCTAATATTATTAGGTGCATTTCTTTAATTTATTTAATTTATTCGCATATCTATACAATTGAATACATTGTAATGAAGAAGATTTAGTCTGTGTAATTTTATATCAGGAGAAATAATTTCGTGTCTTCGTCTCATAAAATATAAACAAGTGGAGTACTCGATGATAATGGATTAGATAGTAAGATGAAGACAAAATTAAATCTTTTGTTAATATTTAATGTTATAAAATATAAAAAAGTCGAATACTAGATGATAATAGATAAGATAATGAGATTAAATATTAGCAAAAGACAAACATCTCCTAATCATTTTCCATTGAAAATACGATATTATATTTTATTCAGCATAGAGAACCTTTGAAATAATTAATATGACGTGGTGGCTGTTCACAATTTAAGCGATGACACGTGGTTTTTACTAAGATTATTTATATTAACTCCAATTTAGCATCGAAACATGGTATTTTCCTTAATATTAGCATCACGTGGTTCGAAAGAGTGAGCATGATGGTAATTCTTCTAAACTGCATTACATTGGGGATGTATCAACCCTGTGTGGACGATAAGTGTGTAACGAATCGCTGCAAAATACTACAAGTACGTATATTTACTTATTTATTTACTTCTTTGCTTATAGATATCAATTTTATTACGTATATTATTACGAGTAGTGATGTAAGCCAAAAAGTTAAGGAATCCTGTACCAGAAGAAAGGTCAAGTGATGAAAGTCATAATATCGAGTACAAAATTTTTTAATAATAAACACAAATTTTTAAATAGTCATTTGATCGATCATGGCAGATCTAATATTAAAAAAGAAAACGAAAAAGAAATCACACAAAAAAGGAAGTTAAAAGAGACCCTGTGTTGCATAAAAATAAAGTAATGAAAACCATAATGTCGAATACAGAATTTTTAATTAAAATAAATTTTGAAACAGTCGTTTGGCGGGATATGGGAGTTTTTAATGTCCGAAAAAAGAAAAAAGAAAAAGATAAGAAAGAAAAAAGAGATCCAGTATTAGAAGGCTAGTCAATTGATGAAAGCCATAATATCGAATACAGAATTTTTAATAATAAAAAAAAATTTTGAGACAGTCATTTGATTGGCATTGTTATATGAAATATTAATTTAATGTTAATAAAAGAAAGAAAAGACAAAAGGACAAATAAAAGAAGAAGTAAAACTCAAGAACGTAATAATTTTGAATAAAAATAAATTTTGAAATAGTCGCTTCGTGAGATATGATAGTTTTAATATCCAAAAAAAAAGAAGAAAACAAAGATCCAGTATTAAAAGGAAAATCAATTGATGAAAGCCATAATATTGAATACAAAATTTTTAATAATAAAAAAAATTGTTGGGACAGTCGTTTGATTGTTCATGTTATATTTAATGTTAATTTAATGTTAATAAGAGAAAGAAGAGGAAAAAGAACAAATAAAACAGGAAGTAAAAATCAAAAACGTAATAATTTTTAATAAAAATAAATTTTGAAACAATCACTTGGTGGGATATGATAGTTTTAATAACAAAAAAAAAAAGAAGAAAGAGATCCAGTATTAGAAGAAAAGTCAAATGATGAAAGCCATAATATCGAATACAGAATTTTTAATAATAAAAAAAAATATTTGAGACAGTTATTTGATTGGCCATGTTATATTTAATGTCAATTTAATGTTAATAAAAGAAAGGAAAGAAAAAAGGAACAAATAAAAGAAGAAGTAAAAATCAAAAACGTAATAATTTTTAAACAGTCACTTGGTGAGATATGGTACTTTTAATATAAAAAAAAAGAAGAAAGAGATCCAGTATTAGAAGAAAAGTCAAATGATGAAAGCCATAATATCGAATACAGAATTTTTAATAATAAAAAAAAATATTTGAGACAGTTATTTGATTGGCCATGTTATATTTAATGTCAATTTAATGTTAATAAAAGAAATGAAAGAGAAAAGGAACAAATAAAAGAAGAAGTAAAAATCAAAAATGTAATAATTGCATCGCGTTTGCCTCTGCACGCTCGTTTTCATTTGTCACGACGTTAAGTTCGAATTTAGCGAGGCAAAAAAAGTTGCAATTACAATTCCGTGCGTCACGATTTATAAGTTGCTACGCTTTCGACTGCAGTCCGCGCGATGGAATCGCAACGCCCTCTCTCTTTCGCCCTCTTTATGTCCCGCGTGCAACCACGGCTGTGTTGAATAATTTTAATTAGTGATACGACTTAATTACTAACCTGTACAGAATATGCGTATAGAATTTACCAAGTTATTAACCCGTTTTCTCGCTCTGGGTCAGGCCTCGCATTCGTATGTTTCCTATTGTTGGTGTCACTGATCTATACACGGGACTGTGTAAAAGCATAGACTATAAACCACGAGAAAATGTTCTCTTTGTTCCACGTGCGAGATACTCGCTGTTGTCTCCATTCTTTTGTGGATATTCCGTAAGAAGCGAATCGGTAATTATTTTAGGCGAAATCTTCTTAATTATTTCATTTTTAAATAATCGATATTTTCTGCGACCTCATTTTGCGCTTTCGACAGTGGTGATTTTTTATTTCTTTTTTGTAACTAGGTTCTCAATTAGTTGTCACTAGTTTGTTCTTTTGCTATTGCAGAAATTTAATTTTCGTTTTCTTCTTTGGCTTCGAGTAATTTTATTATTTTATTAATGTAATTATAAATAATAATTTCGCTATTCAATGAATCAAATTTAAATATTTGTATGTACGAAATCTTAGAACTTTATTAAAGGTTAAGTAGAATAATAATTGAGTTATATGTAAGGGTGGACGTATTTTGTAAATTACCTTTTACGAATTTGCTTTTGTTTTTAAAAATTTTAATTCTTCCTTTTGTTTAAATAAATTTTGTTCTTTTTCTAAATACTATTATTAGTATTAGTGTTTCTATATTATTTATCGTATTTTTTTGTAACACGTATGTTATTATTTTATTATGATTATTTTTAATAAAAAATATTTGAAAAATACAGTAATTCATTATAAAAATAAAAGAGGATATTTTTATTTCTAAAATATTCAGTGGAAAAGATTTTAAATAATAAAATAATAAAAGATATGTACAATTAAATATAGTTAATTTGTAATTTAATTTAATTTTTGTACAGTTTAAAAAATGTCTTAGAATTTGGTGATGATATTATGTAAAGCACGTTGTATATGTTTTATAATATTCAGCACATAATTCTATTTATTAAACATGAATCTTACTTCTTTATTCGAAAACTAATGCAACGATAGTAACATCTAAAAAGTATTTTCTAATTTTATTTTTGTAGTGTAGTATAAAGTCGTAGTATAATATATTTTCCTAAGAATATTTTTAATTGTCATTCTAACCTAACAAATACAAGTAATCTAATAGCAAAATTTTTGTTCGCGATGTATATATAGATATTTCACGATAGTACTTAACCTTCGACACTGTTGAAATTAATATTAGGTATATAAATTAATTTGGTAGCTTTGGATTCAACTGTTTCTAATAAGGATTTTAAATTGAAGTATTTTCTGATATTATGTTAGTTTACGTAACATTATATGATTTACAGTTATAACTAACCGAATGGTAAACATAACCTTAAAAACCTAGTCGTTTTCAAATTAGTTATTAACAAGATCATACATATTAGTTACTACATTTTGTTCGTATTTGATCTAAGAGAGAGTCAATAGAATGATAAAATTAAAAAAAGAATTTTTTTTAATTCATTTCAATTGTCGTTCATTTATAACATTTCCCAAATTATAACGAAAAGATACAAAGAATAAATTTATCGAGTCAAAATGTCATATTTTAACCGAAGAAAATTCGGTATTTGTTTACGAAGTGGATAGATAATATAGAAAATAATGGGCATGATTTTGACTAGTAAGTCAAATCACGTGACCCGCGGTAAAACATAAAATTTCGTATAAAATTGTCTCGAATAAATTGACTCGCTCGATAATTAACGCATATTCGATAACAGAAAATATTGAAACTATTTCACTCGAAACGACGACTTACTCTATTTTTAATTTGCTTGTAAAAAAAAATAAAAACAAAAGATAAAAGAAGGAAGCAAAAGACGGTGGAAAGAAAGTTTCTTCCGAACGTTCGGGAGGTCCGGAAAAAACAGCGAAGCACAAAAGTCGTGGCGCGGGAATTGATTAATTGCACTGTTTGTCCTGCTTTTCACGTTCGGTTTTACACGTCGAGCAGAAAAGGGAAGCAAACACGAGAGAGCAGCAGTTGGTGGTTCGACAGCTAATGGAACTCGCTGCTCTAGTATCCTTGATCAATTACGCCCGATCAGGTTAAGCGTTTTCGTCTAATCGGCTCGCACGCCTCCTTCTGGCTTACAGATGTTCGACGACATCATTTTCGCCTTCTTCTCCCTGGAGATGACAATCAAAATGGTCGCGATGGGCATATACGGCAAAGGAACGTACCTCGCAGACTCCTGGAATATATTGGACTTCATTATAGTAGCGGCTGGGTGAGTGTTTGTTAATTATCTCTTGTTTCGGTATTCGTCATGCGCACTGTACTTACCACTTTCTTCGTGGATCGTGTTAAAACGGCGTGATTTTAACCCTCGTTTGTAGCGAGAGTCCCCCCGTCGTGTGTATACGTCGACAGATATTGCGCAATACGTAAAAATCTGTCCTCGCCGGCTTCGCTCGTGAGCGAGGTTCGGTATGTTAGGTTAGGTTGAGCGACGCGCGACGGGTATAGAAAGGAGTGAGAAGGGGAAGGGGAATTGCTGTGACGTTCGGGTTCGATCGGGAAGTAGGATGCGTTCGTTCTTGGGTAATTTTTATCTTGGTAGATGTCGACGGAGTCGCGCGAAAGTTTCGCCTTAATTCCGTCAATGCCTTTAAGGCCACGGAGGCGGGAACGTGCTGCGCGGGAAGTTTACCGTGAAATAAAGTTTCGCGGATTGAATGATGTCACGCGAGCGTACTTAATCGTACCGGTTCTATAACACTTGGGAGCTTGTGAAATTGATAAGGAACTCTTGCTATATTCTACGTGAGCCATTCGCGCTTACGAATGTTACGTTGCCTTGTACAAAACTTACATCAAGATGGCTGAAATTTTTTATTCCTTTACTTACACTAGCGTCCGATTAGGATTGAACTGTGAATTTATTTTGTAGGTATTCATCTATGATACGTATTATTTATAATTTATTTACCATTTATTTATTTATAATTTATTTATTAATGCAATTATTTTATGTATACAGGGTGGCCAATAAGAATTACTATTTGGTATAACTGTATAACCTGTTGATTAGGATTGAAAGAATGATTTAAACGAAATTTTTTGTATTCGTCTTCTACTCGGTATATTTTTTCTTATATTGTACATTATATTTCTTTTATGCTATTTTGAAGCCCTTAGGAAGACAAATTTAATAACCTATGATTGAAATGAAAGGGAAGGTTTTTGGATAGTAATTTTTACAAGGTAATGTGAAAGGAAAATACAAAGTGTAAAATGCAAAGCATTACACTATCAGAACAGTAAAATGTTTTTATTTACATAAATTATTTAAATAAAAAATTCCTCATTAATGTCAATGATATTTTAATTTGTCCTATTATAGAAAACCTAGTTCCAATAAGCCATTTTAACACTATAAACCAAGGTGAGAATAATTTTGTATTTGCACAAATTGTTTGTACAATTGTATAACTGTACATGAAGGATGATGAAGATTGAACAATAGCTTCAACATTATATATTTTTCATAATTTTTTTGACTAATGTAAGTTTTATATATATTCATTTGACAAGTATCATATAAACATTTGCATTTATAATAACTTTTCCACGAAAGAAAAAATAAAATATTGTTTAATAGTAGTAGTGAGGAATTTTTTATTTATATAAAAAATTTGAAGGAAAGAGTATTATATTGTCATTCCAAATATTTGTTCTTATACCTATTGCAATTTTAAAGAAATTTTAAAGATGTATAGGTGAATAGAACACCTACATACAGATAAGGGGTATTTTCACTCTAAATTGTGGCTAGTAAAAAAATAATTTGTTGGAAATCGTAAGAAATGTAAAACAATCACAAAGTTTAAAAAAATACGAATTTTTGAGTTACCTAATAACTTTTGTTTGAAGAAAAATTATTTTTAAAGGGTGAAAATATTTAAAATTCGTCGATCAGAAAATTTAGAAGATATGAAACTTTTATAATTGATTTTGTGATCGAGTAAATTTAATTTTTCAAAAGTAGCACAATTGCATTTTTAATATCGTAAATACATTGTATAGCGAAAAATTCATCTACTGTAATCTTCTTGTTTTTTAATTACTTATTATTATTATCAATTATTGATTTTATTAATAATTTTTTCTGGTAAAGTCTACTTCCCACTGATGTTTGCTGATAATAAATATACCTGATAAACGTTGCATTTTTTAAAAATTATACGTCCTTTCGAAAAGATGTCTGAGGGATATGACATAGCGTGGTTGTCAAAATAATGTCTCAAGAAGAAAGAATATTTACATTGATGCAGAAAAAATTTTTTCGTGTTTATATATCTTTTTTTGAATTGGGTAGCATTTATTTTTGTCTCCTTTTTATAAGCTCAAGCAGCAGAAATATTTATTATTTTATATCTATTTATATCTGTTTATCACATTTTTATTTACGTTTATTAAATACGTATATATGTTTTCATAAATATATTTGCAAGCCAAAGAAATCGAAAATCCCACGCGTCGCAGTATCAAATTATTTATTCACAAACAAATTTGTTTCGAAGACTATTAAATTACGAATCGTACTTAAATTACCTTTAGAAATTTAATTTAATTTCAACGTGATTCCGTGAAGTTTTCTTCGTTAAGCTCCCATAATTTCAGGTATTTTATTCGTCCGAACGAAATCTGCAATTTCGTTTCAAAATGGGTTGTTTCGGCGAAACCATTTCAATCGTGACACACGTTATATCCGCGTATTGAAAAGCGTAACAGCGTAGAATAGATATTTACGAGTAAAATGAATCGTTTGACGCGAAGGTAAAATAAGAACTGTAATTTTATTCGGGTCTTTCAATTTTATTTCAGTGCTCTGGAATATTGTTTGAACGTGGAAAACATGAATTTATCGGCGGTAAGGACAATAAGAGTCCTGAGACCTCTACGCGCCATCAACAGAATTCCAAGTGAGTACGAAAACAACCATCTAGTCTCGTGTGTCGAAAATCGCTGATTTTTCTACTTAAACGATAAACAGTCGCGAAATATATGCGAACCATATACATACGTGTACGCGTTTAAGCGAACCCAATATCCGGGGAAATTTATTTGCTTCAATTTCCAAGCAAAATTCCAATCAAGCAGCTTACATCGAATAAATTTGTTATTATGCAAAAAACAATATTTGTCATTGCAAAGTGGATTGGAATTTACGGTATGAAACAAAAGGGAGGTGGTTCTTCGTGCAAAAATAAGTCGAAAAAGAACAAATAAAGTTTTATCGTTGCTTTGTTTACGAGGAAAGTGATTTTCGTTGGAAACGTGTGCAATTGAATACAAATTGATCCTTAACCTAACCTAAATCGCCAGACGAAATTCTTTTTTCTTGTTTATAGAGTTTCGCTACAAAGAACATTCCCGTAACGCGATTTAAATCTTAAAGGAAAACCGGAATTTTTCCCTTTTACTTTTCCATCTAATTTACTACTACTTTTAGCACAACTTGTATATTTTATGTTAACACTTTACTACTACTTTTCCCCTGATTTACTAACAGTAAATTCCTAACCTCACTTATAAAATTTGAATAACTCGTAAAAGTTAGTATTATTCTGGATAATAATATATTTTTGAATATCTGGCAGAGGAAACATTAAGAAATAGAAATAGATGTATTTGATATATTTTTAGTAAAAATTGTCGTTCTAAATTTAATTTTTTTTTCTATTTATGAAGTGCTATTTTTATTTACAAAGATTGTTCTATATCTATTTATAAAGTACTAAGAAAGACTTTCTTATAGTGCAATTCAAATCTTAAAGCATAACAGTTCTTCCTCTCATCTTCTCTTCTAATTTTAGGAACTAATGATTCCTAACCTCATTTATAGAAGTTACATAACCTATAAGAATTCGTATTACTTTCAACAGTAATATATATGTACAAATATCTCCAAAACTTTGTATAGTGTAAATTCTCACCAAAAGTTAATTTCTTCTTTATATTTATAAATTATCTTTACAAAGAAGAATTTCCTCGTAGCATAATTTAAATTAAAAAAGGAAAACGTGTATTCTTCCTTCTCCTTTTTTTAAAATTAATGATTTATTGTTTCTTAACTTCGCTTATAAAGCTTATATAACCTGTAAAAGTTCACGTTTACTTTCAACAAAAATATCCATGAATAATAGTATAAAAAGGTATATTCAAATTAAGCCTATTCTCCATGATAAATGTCCCCACAAAAGATTCTCATTCCAAATTTAAATTCTTCCGCCTATTTATACGCAGAATATCATTAGAACGAATTTTAAAGAAAGGCCGGAATTTCTTTCTTCTATCTTCTCACCTAGTTTATTACTGGTGGTTCCTAACCTCACTTATGAAACTCGAATAACTTGTAAAGATCCATACAACTTCCAATAATTGTATATCCATGGTCTTCTTACCTAGTTTATTACTGGTGGTTCCTAACCTCACTTATGAAACTCGAATAACCTGTAAAAGTTCATATAATTTCCAACAATTATATATCCATTGTATATCCAAATATATTTTGAAAAGTCGAAACCTTGCAAATGCAGAAGGATATATTCGAGTTAAACGCATTCTCAATAATAAATATTCCTATGAAAAATTGGCGTTGCAAACTTCGACGTATTTTAACACGAAGAGCCACGGTATAATACTCGCGATTACGGTGTTTGTACGTCATATTACAGTTAATACCTCGATCGATCAATCAGTGGTTGTTATTTTTCAATTTTACGAACTTGTTATCCACCGCTGACTGGAAAATATTTACTATGCAAGTGAAACTCCGATGACACAACTCTTCGTATATACACAGTAGCTATCACAGGTGTTCGAGTGCTATATTTTGAGGGAGTACTGTAATTCAGCAATTCTGATTTTAATAAAAATACGTGAAAAACACGAGTTACACATGGACCTGTGGCGGCATCATTCTCACTCTTGCCACCAGATGGAGCCCAGGTTTAAAGAGGTTAGGGATTTTCTTTTCGGTAAATCTTCCGTTTCCTATATATGAGCCGTTCCCTGCACAAATTGATTAACTCCATAAAACAAAAAGTGGAGAAATGCAATGAAATAATGTATATTGTTTTTTAAAATTCCCTTTATAATTTAAATCGAAATAAATATCGTAGAATGCATAAATACAAATGTAACTTTCATCTAACGGTATATAAAATTTATAAGAAAAAATAGCCTAAAGGTAATCGTTAGCAATGTTACCATTTTTATGTTATTGGAAGACTTAATCGATTTGGCAAGTGAGAAAAGTAATAAATTTAAATTTTACTAAATTTTACTTAAATTCTGATAAGACGGCACTAAAAAATTCACCGTTATCATTCATGGCTTGCTAGTGCATTTGAGTTGCATTATTGCAACGATTTACATTAGAGTACGGAGTTAATCAAAGTGACCTCTGAAATAAATTATTTATTATTCAGTGGCCAAAAAATTTTTGTCGTTTAACGGTGTTAATCTTAATTATCATGGAAAGTTATTCTAAATATAAAAAGTTATGACTATACCAAGTGCTTTGACACTTAAATTTAAGAATTTTCAAAAAGTGGAGTTAATCGATTTGTGCAGTGAACGGCTCATATATAGGATCGTATTGGTGGGGATCTAGAATAATATTGTTTCACTTAATAGAACAAAAATAAGCTTTAATAAAATAACGGATTAATGTAATACAATGGGAATTAATAAACCCTCTAACAACTATCTTACTTCTGATTTCAACTGACTTTCAATACTGATTCTAAACTGCTAACCTTAAATTCTGACTTCAAACTGAAAACTGAAACTGATTGAAACTGAAAATTCACAACTAAGATTTGCACCCTTAATTAAACCTTGCACTCTGTCTTCTTCCATACCTAGGCTTTCTTCCTCAATCACGCATTTTTCACGTGACCTTGATGGGTCAAGTAGTTCAAACACAGGACGCATTCGTATACTTTCACTCGTTTCTCGCAGTCGACTTTGTCATAAACATCCCTTACATTCAATCCTCTTGTACGTGGTTATTTTCGTTCTATGCACCAAACACTCTTAACCCTTTGCGGACGAGCGTCACATATATGCGTTTGCCATCAGTTCGGCCGAGGAACGCATATATGTGTTCCACGTAAACGCGTTACTATGGCCGAGAAACACAAATATGCGCTCGCTGTTGCGACCCTAGGCCCCCACGTTCCAAGTTAAGTGGTGGACTGCTTTATGTCCTTATTACCAATATCGTTATGAACGAAAATCGTGTTTAACACGTTGGGTGCCACGCCGGTTCCCAGGGACCGGCGTTAGAGTTTCCGTTCGGACCCGGCCGGTCCTCAGGGACCGGCCAAAATTAGGACCAAAGAGTGCTAACTTTGGTATTAAATTTTTTACCATCTTTGGACCTAATGTTTGGGAATTCTTGTTATAACAATTGATTCAGTATCTCTGAGTTTTATGAATACTTCGTTCGCCGCCGGTGGCCCACTTGATGGCCGAGTCTGGGCCTGAACAGGACGGCAATCAAAACGGGCTGGGCACTTAACGTGTTAAGCAGAAATGGGCGCTGGTAGTTTTGATTGACTATCGCGGCAGCGACTCGGCTCCACAGTACGGTTTAATCAAAACCGCTCTGTCCGCAAAGGGTTAATATTCTTTCAGGGCCGCACTCGTTTTATTCCTACATGTGTAGCATTTCCAGACATTCCAATAATAGTATCCCCGTTTAAGGCAGGGCCTTCTAGGTAGTCTTACTGACGAGTTCACTAGCAGACCCCAGAACGAAACACGTCCTCCCTTCCTTTTCCTTTCGTTCTTTCTAGCACTATTGCAACCGTAGAGTAGAACCCCTACAGACCAATCTCATTTGCAGATATTACCTCACATAGGTAAAATTATTACGTACAGTTACAGTCCGATCTTCGTTTTTCTTTAAACGTAACTGTACAATGATGCGAGTCAAAGTGAAATTTTTCAAATAAAAGATGTTAAATTTTTAGTTCTCCGTCACCCCAGAGTAAAAATTTCATTTTATTCTTTCAAAGCCATTTTTTTCTACAGAAAGATTACTCCATGTGTAACTCGTTATGCTATACGCACACTCGGGTTTTCATTAAAATCCGAATTTTTGGGTTCTTTTAAAGTTCTTTTGAAATATAGCGTTCAGCTGTGGCTTCCTTAATCCCTTGCACTATGGTTCAATTGCAAAAAATAATGCAGTGGAAAGGTATCCAATTTCAATTAACTATACCTCTGATTCGCGATGAAATAATAGAAAAATTGTGGAATTTCTTCGAATCGCACGTTGAAATACGTTAAATATAATTTTGGTCACACGACGAGTGTATAATTCTAATATCCGGTGAGAATTCGTGACGAGTCGGAGTCGCTATTGCAGTGCAAGAGGTTAAATAAAGAACCGACATCCCAATTGAACTGATATTTTTTCCCGGCAGTCCGCGACAATTATACTCTCGGTGAGTTACAGTCGTGCCATGAATGAACTTGAAACGATGTATTTCTGGACGATCGAGATGAAGAAATTATGAACGGATCGATTTAGACCCGCGATACACCGAGCACTCGGGTATCTATAACGCATCCTTCGGTTCCTATTCGTATTTTTACTTTTCGGGCGCGCTCCTCTACCCACCGCGGTATACGCGCGACACTGCGCCCTCTGGCGACGGAAATAGAGAGACCCTTTGTTTATGTAGTTCGTGGCGAAGCGCGACGACGACGCCATTACGGCGCGCCGCGTAAACAACGGAGAGTTTCTAACGGAACTGAACCGTCGCGATCCTCGCGGCTTCTTCTTTTTCCTGCTCCAACAGGTATGCGGATCCTGGTGATGCTTTTACTCGACACTCTTCCTATGCTGGGCAACGTGCTGCTGCTGTGCTTCTTCGTCTTCTTTATATTCGGTATCGTCGGTGTGCAATTGTGGGAGGGCATCCTGCGACAACGGTGCTTCCTGAAGGCTCTACCCAACGTCAAATATCCCGAGTAAGTCTCAAAGCTACCGACGCGCCATCTGTTATTAGTCCGCTACGTATTGCGTACCCGTGACGATCCAGTTCGTCCGGTTCGTTTATTATTACGGCTTAACTCGCATCGATTCCGCATTTTCTTCTCTCTTTCTCTCTCTCTCTTTTTCATCTTTGTCTTACTCACCCACCTCGTCTCTCTTTTTGATCCACTTCTTCTTCGCTGCGTAATCGCCGAGTGAACGTTAACACGCGCGTACGACTCTTTCATCTTTGTCTTACTCACCCACCTCGTTTCTCTTTTTGATCCACTTCTTCTTCGCTGCGTAATCGCCGAGTGAACGTTAACACGCGCGTACGCTAGGCTGCATTGCGCTGAGATAAACGTCGGCCATACTCTATTTCCAGAAGATGGCGCAATACACGGACACGCGACTGGATAAGTATTAACTCAGCTATCGAACGCGCGCACGCGCATACCGTATTGCTCGCAGCGAATCGTTTGCGCTTTACTCTTTTCCCTCTTTTCATACCAGTTTCTTCACCTGCCTGCTTCTTACGTCTGAAGACTACACGGGAGAAACACGCGTGTCTTTTTCCGATGCTTTGCCGCGTTTTAGTTCCTTCAGTTCCACTGTGGGGCGAGTGCTTCTTTCAGATTCGGAGAGGGGACACTCGTTAGCTCAAAGTAACGTAGGTCCTTGGAAGAGGAATCTTGCGAAGGATCATAGGTCTTTGGAAGAGAAATCTTGCGAAGGATCATAGATCCTTGGAAGAGGAATCTTGCGAAGGATCATAGGTCTTTGGAAGAGAAATCTTGCGAAGGATCATAGGTCTTTGGAAGAGAAATCTTGCGAAGGATCATAGATCCTTGGAAGAGAAATCTTGCGAAGGATCATAGGTCCTTGGAAGAAAAATCTTGCGAAGGATCATAGATCCTTGGAAGAGAAATCTTGCGAAGGATCATAGATCCTTGGAAGAGGGATCTTGCGAAGGATCATAGATCCTTGGAAGAGAAATCTTGCGAAGGATCATAGATCCTTGGAAGAGAAATCTTGCGAAGGATCATAGATCCTTGGAAGAGAAATGTTGCGAAGGATCATAGGTCTTTGGAAGAGAAATGTTGCGAAGGATCATAGATCCTTGGAAGAGGAATCTTGCGAAGGATCATAGATCCTTGGAAGAGAAATCTCGCGAAGGTTCGAGGGAACTTTGAACTTCGAACTCACTGATGTCGCGACAGTTTATATTTTTGAAATATCCAGCAGTTGAAATTCGTGTCTCATCTCGAAGTCGAGTAAAGGTTATTGCACGTCGAAAATGCTCCTGCGTGAAAAATGAAACGTTTATTTTACCGACAGTTTTGGTACTATGGAATTAGTACTGGGTGTTCGCGTTATTCACGTTATGCACCTTTTCAAAAATTATTGTGATCGAAAAAAAACGAAAGAGGACAAAGTGTTTCGGTTTTCTATGGTTAATAGGACACTGCATAATAGTTGTGCATATTTACGTTATTTTTCAAAAAATTTTGGTGATTTTAATCTTTTTAAATGAGATACTATACTGTACTATGAGATTTTTGTGGAAGCACGTGTCAAGATATCTATCGCATACTGTACAATGATTTTCAAGGTCATATGAGATCAGAAATGAAAGAAATATTTTGTATACTTTGGATTGAGATTATGGGTTTGTAATTGTAAAATAACTACATACAGGGTGTCTCAAAAAACGTATGTACACTTTAATACAATTTATTTGTACTCTTAATTTGTAATCCCCCTAAATATATACTGTTATATTTTTATAATCACGTAAAGTATGTATACATTTTTTTGGGACACCCTGTATATGGATTCTCTTTTAAATTCTTTCGTTACTCAAGGAAGGTATATCTATTTTCGAGTGCTTCTATAGAACGACTGACCGACTCGTGAGAAAGTATCAAGACGCCCAATTTTTATCTAATGTTTATATAAACATTCGTTTTTGGAATTTAAGTCTTATAAATCCTAGATCGATTTTAGTAGATAACTAAATTTATCTTTTCAACACTTCGTGACATTATGTTTGCGAATGTTTCTTGGTTCGTGCAATGTGACCAGTTGTTTCATCATCTGCTGTTAAAGTGTTTTTTCCTGTAATACTTCATTGGGATACACTTATAAGATCTTCAAAGCACATAATTGCAAGCTTTTTAAGTAACTCACAGCCCAAGTTTAATTGGTTTCTCACGAATAACGAAATATTAACTATAAATGACAATTAACTATAAATCAAGATTCGACTCTAATATTATAGTGAAGAGCAGTCATAATGTACACATATGGTTTAACGAGAATTTTGTTAATACAGAATTTTTATAAACCTAATGCTATAAAACATCAAAATTTTTCTTTCGTTTCTTACTTTGCATGACCTTGGAAATCATCGTGTAGCATACACACGTATCCTTTCTTAGACACGTTTCCACGTGACATAAAAGTCTACGCCATATTTGCTTTTAAAAATTAAAATATATATTACGAGAATTTTCCTAACAATTTTGTTAATACAGAACTTTTATAAACATAATGTTATAAAACATCGAAATCTTTCTTTCGTTTCTGACCTTATATGACCTTGGAAATCATAGTGTAGTATACACACGCATTCTTTCTAATTGTAAGACACGTTTCCACGTGACATAAGAGTCTACGCTATATTTGTTTTAAAAAATTCATCTTCGTCATAGAAAACTATAAAAGACCATAATACTCTGTCCTCTTTCATTTCTCCCAAATCGCTATAATCTTCGAAAAAATAATCTGCACATGGAATCTTAAAATTGCTATCTTATGCAATCGGTCTTACCATGTTTTTCCCCTCTAGTCTTCGAATGTAACAACTTTTCAGTTTTCAAAACTCGTGGAAGCTCTACAGACTGTACGGTCATATCGTGGATACTTCTTGCTCGCAAACATTTTGAATTTCATGCTAATTCTTTCCTTCTCGTGGCCGGTGAAGCTGGTCGACGCAGCTCGACTTGGAAACGGGAATAAGGCAATCGATGAACAAGCACTTTGCGAATATTTTTCTTCGACCTTGCTTTATTTCGGGTTAAATAGCTTCGTGCATAGTTACGGAATTTTCGTGACCGGTGTGTCCCACTTTGTGGCGGACCACGAGGTTCTCGAGAATTCCGGCGCTTCCGTGTTACATCCCCGGGAACGAACGCGTTCGTTATCAGATATATTACATCCACCTCTCCGCTCGTTTATTTTCGGCTTTACATACGTGTATACCGATATCCATTCGCTGATTATTTTCACATGGTGCTCCTCAAACACTCGCGTGAAGAATCTTCCAGTGCTAAGGGTCAATGTTATTTCTTCCACGAGACGTAAAAAGCATCAGCCGATGTTTCAAAACCTTCGCACAGAGTTCGTATGTATCTTTCTAATATACTCCATTATTTAATAGCAAATTCTATCCAGTGATTTTCCAACGAATTTTCAATTTCAAAAAAGTATTATTCCCCGTGACGTCTCCTTGGCACTGAGGTTTTCACCGCGTAATAGATCCGTTAAAAAGAGAAATTCTGAAAAGGTTCAAACGGACAGCCGTCGCGTAGGTATATACGCGAGCGTGTCTCCTTGACCTTTCCACGAGTAAATCTGCGAAAACAATATAGCACGAACAATATACGAAGTAAGAAGAAAATTCGAAGATTATATCGGTAAAATTAGAAAATAATTCAACGACACATAGGATATTAACGATAAACACGTTTATCGGAGATATGAGCCGCGGTGGCGCTAGTGAGTTAAGCGGGCGTCTTAAGACCGTCGGAACGCTTGCTCGTGAAAGGGTTAAAGGAACATTTGCACACGGTTCATTTCCACGCAGTATGCTGTGAGATGCATGGCGATATAGCTCGAGTTGTCGTCGCTAGGTATCGCTTCGAGTAAATTGAAGTCTCTCTCCACTCGGCACCTTTCTCTATCACACGGTACTCTTATACTTCACCTTCTCTCTGTGTCTCTGTTTCTCCCCCTTCTACATGACTCCTAACTCATCGACGTGCCATACGGTATCCATACGAATCACGTATTGCAGAACGTGCAACCCGGTATGGTATCGACGAGAATGTTCGAGAATTTCGATCGAAAAAGCCAATTTTCGGCTCGTATTATATTTCGTGCATGTCCTCGAGCTATAAAAGCGGGATTCATTTATTCGCGCGATATACGGTGGCTGGACGAGAAACAGGGGGAATTGCTAATGAACGCAAACTATTTAAAACGGACCTCAACACGCGCTCAGATGCTTTGCGTTTGCCGAGGTTACGGTTAAATGTTTTATAACCGCTTTCGCGCGTTTCATTCCCGTATTTAAACGCTTTTTATATACACGCAGATTACGACATAGGACTGCTGTTCTATACAGGGTGGTAAATAAACGAAGGGACATACTTCAGAGTGACGATGTACAGGGAGTCCGGGATTGGTTGTCGCATTTTGTAATTAACGATTAATCGAGTAATTTATTTTGCATCTTTCAATTTCTTTTTTTTTGATCAGTATTGTGAAATTTGTGAAATAAATAATTTATAGTACGTTTAAAATATTTTTATATTTAAAACAAAAGACACATTTCTTGGTTAATAATTTTGTTTCTTGAATTAATTTTAGGAATTTTTCGAAAAGCCTAAGTAATTTTTAATTTCTTAATTCTTGTAAAATTACGTTCTTTACTTTTTTCCTTTATTTTTTAATGTATAGGGAGTCCGATATTTTGTAATTAACGATTAATCGAGTAATTTATTTTACATCTTTCAATTTCTTTTTTTTTGATCAGTATTTTGAAATTTGTGGAATAAATAATTTATAGTACGTTTAAAATACTTTTATATTTAAAATAAAAGACACATTTCTTGGCTAATAATTTTGTTTCTTGGATCAATTTCAGGAATTTTTCGAAAAGCCCAAGTAATTTTTAATTTCTTAATTCTTGTAAAATTACGTTCTTTACTTT